ATACATACATACATACATACATACATACATACATACATACATACATACATACATACATACATACATACAGACATACATACATACATACATACATACATACATACATACATACATAGGTATGGGGATATTGAGGCAAGTGGACAGACAGACAGACAGTGTTATACACCGCTTGTTCTATAAAGATGCACGCAATTTTGACGTGGATGACCAATTCGGATTCAAAGTAAATCGTGGCGTTGTCACGGGAGAGCTCTTCGGACTGAAAGTGACTGTTTGTTGACATCTGAACGGACCGGTATCGATAATTCTATTCAGAACCCGGGTTCAGCTTGGAGGCAGAGATCTGAGACATACACACGTTTCATGTCAGATGACGGAATTAAAATCCACGAACGGTCGTGTATTTGTACGCTTTATTATTCATCTCTAGCTGGTGTTTACCGATTCCTGCTCCTATTTTGGCTGACTACATATGGATAAACTAAAGAATTCTTGAAACGGTGAAGTCGACATTGTTTGCGATCAATTATTAGTCGAACTGAAAATCCAACTTTTCAATCGAATATTCGAAGAAAAAAAACTAATTTGAATAACATCGTGATGCTTCACCCGGAAACGTTGAAATTCTATACTCAATTGGTTCAGTCGGTGAAATTCGAACTTTCCTTCCCCATGAATTGTTGCTGGCTTGAACGACTTCGACGCAAACGGGAGTGAGGAACAGGACGTGAAGAACACTTAAGTTGTGTCTGTTCACATGAGAACACAACAACCCTGGATTATTCAGTACCTTCACACCAGCGTTATGATGACATATCTAGCACAGTGTCCATAATATCAGTCTAGTTTCAGTTTTAGCATCAGCGCGTGAGGCATACTTTTGTGTCCGTCTGGTTTGGGCGGTGACCTTTCACTGTTCTTTTTCTATGGAGGGAGCAATCCAGGCAGCACTAGTGTCAGGCTAATTGATTGATTGATGTGGTCGGATAAAGCGCATCTGATGAAATAGGGGTGGAGGTGGGGGGGAGGGGGGACTGTGGAAAATCAACTTCCACACTGACACACACACACACCACCCCGCCCTTTCGAATGAGGGTAATGATTCATCTCCTCTGAAATGGGTTGTGTACGCGAATTCTGTTACCATGGTACAAAGCCCAGGGGTTGCACAACTGCCCTGGATTAAGCTGACAAGTTTGTCATAAG